TGCAGTTGGCATTGAATATTATTTTATATTAGTTTCAGGTGTACAGCATAGTGGTTAGACATCTATATAGTTTACAAACTGATCCCCGGATAAGTCTAGTATCCACCTGGCACCATACATGGTGATTACAGTATTAGTGACTATATTCCCTATGCTGTACTTTACATGCCTGTGACTGTTCTGTAACTGCCAATTTGTACTTCTTAATCCCTTCACCTTTTTCACACATCTCCCCACCAGCACCTCCCATTTGGCAACCACTAGTTCGTTCTCTGTAAGGAAAAGATTTAAACAAGATCTATAAAACAGAAAAACACCTGATAAATGGGACACAATAAAATTAATTTTGTTCATCAAAATATTATTGTGAAAGACAGCTTCAGAGTGATAGAAGATATTTGTAAACCATATAACTAAGAAAGGGTTTGTGTTTGAAACATTTGAAGAACTCTTTTAAACCAATAGAAAAAGACAAAATCCAGTAAAGAAGAGGGGCAAGAGACTTGAACAAGTATTTCATAAAGGATACATCTAATGGCAAATAACATATAAAAATTAAAATTAAACCTCAATAATATACTACTATATCCCTATCAGAATCACTGAAATTAAAGAGCCAGATAAATTTAGGCGAGGCTATGGAGTAATAGGAACTCACACTCTGTGGATGGGAGTGTAGATTGGTAAAACCACTTAGGAAACCTGTTTGGCCTTACTATTATAGTTGAAAATCCATATGTGTTCCCAATAACTTAGCAGTTCCATTCCTTAGGTGTAACCCCAGAATAAACTGGTTACATATGCACCAGGAGACACACACAAGAGTATTCATAGCTTTGTGTTTGCAAGAACTCCCCCGAACTCCAAACTGAACAACAAAACTGTCCACTAACAGTAAAAATAGATAGATAGTGTTATATCTATGGAGAATACTGTATATCCGTGAAATTGGATCAACTCCAGTCACATGCAACTCTGTGGCTGAATCTTAGAAATACTAAGCTGAACCAAAGAAGCCAGTTACAAAATGGTTCCTCTTGTCTAATTCCGTATGAACATTTCACAATAAGCGAAGAATTTTTCTTGTATGTTTCTACTTGCATAAAGTTAACAAAACAGGCAAAGGTGGTGCTCGGGGATTTATAATTAGAAGTTCGGGTATAAAGCAAAGCAGGAAAGTATTACCGTACAGCTGGGGTAGCTGTAACCCTGGGGGAGGGAGGCAGTTTTGACAGAACGCATGTGATGGGCCTCTGGGCTGAGGGGTGGCAATATCCTGTTTCTTAACCTAGGTGCTGCTTTATAATAAGTTGTATATTTGGTTCTGTGTGTTTTTTGGCATGTCATTTTTCACAGTAAAAAAATTTTTTAAGTAAAAAAGCTCCCTGCCTACAACCCCAATCGTGCCTGCCTTGAGCCTGCCTCTCTCTCCCCATGGTTCTCTCAGGCAAAGGAATGCCCCCTTTGCTCATATTGTCTCCAGTCTCTTAATTCCCACTCATAACATAAAGTGCTCCACCCCCTCCCTCAGAGTCACTAGTAATTGGCAAATCAAGTGAATTTATATCATTCTCTGCTCTCTTCTGTTCTCCAGAGGAGGTTGAGCTGTTGACCGTGTAGCTTTCTTTTCCCGTGGCTTCCCCCTGACTCTTCCCTCTGACTCCTCTAATTTTCCACACGTCTTCAGCACTGGCGCTTCCCACCTTTCCCTCCACATGGTCTCATCCATGTCCACGGCCCATCCCTGTGCTGACAGCCCCTGATGGGTGATGGTCCCTTCTAGGCTCCAGGTGCAGCTATGCATACATTTCCTGCTTCATCGCCATCTTTATCCAGGTGTGGGAAGTCATCTGAATTTCAACCCACAGGCCTCAGAATGAACTCACTCTCTTCCTCTCTCCACCTGTGTTCCTGGATTTCTTATCTAAATAAACTTGCAAGTTGACATCTCAAGCCAGAAATGTTGACTTGCCTCCCTGCTTAACCTGGCCCAGTTCCGACGGCTACTATTACAATGTTCATTCTGTGTGCTAGGCCCTTATTATGATCCACTGTTTCTATCCCCCACAAATCCAAACGTTGAAACCCTGATTCCCAGTGTGATGATATTAGGGGATGGACACTTTGGGAGGTGATTACATCTTGAGGGCAGAGCCCTCGTGAATAGAATTAGTGTTCTTAGGAAAGAGGCCCCAGAGAGCTCTCTTGTACCTTTGTCCACGTGAGGACATGGCAAGAAGAGAGCTGTCCAGAGGAGGGGGGGGGGTCCTCACAGGACCTGGAATCTGCTGATGACTTAATCTTGGACTTCAGAACTGTGAGAAATAAATTTCTGCTTATAAGCCACCCAGTCTGTGATATTTTGTTATACAACTTGAACAGACTAAGACAGACCTGCTTTTTTTGTTTGTCCTTTTTTATTTATATGACATACACTCAAAAAGCTTACATTAGCTCACTTAATTCTCTCAACAACCCTGACATGGATATTATTCTTCTTCCTTACAGAGGAGAAAAAAACGGGAAATCTTCAGAGCCAGCAGCTCTTGGACAACCAACTCCCGTCAACTCCAATGCAGAAAAGCCCTCTTAGCAGCTGTTGGAATCCACCCCAACCCCCGGCATTGGTTTCTGGTTTGGATTGTTATACTAAACATATAACTTGTGTCCCAACCACATACACACACACCCCTTCCATTTCTGTCTCCCTTTAACAGAGATGATAGAGTACTCTCAAAAAAGTAAACATTTGATAATGTTAATTCCGATCGATTACTTCCCAGATGCCTTGGCACACACAGAGGCCTCGTGATCCAATGCCAACCTGCCCCCTGTGCCTGCTCCCCACCCCCACCTCCACATCTTCTTACCCCTGGCACGCACACTTTCCGACCCCTGGGCCTGTGCACAGTTTTTTTTTTGCTTGCGATGCTCTGTTGACACCCCTCCCTGTTCAACTGGGGAATCCCTGCCTGCTCTGTCAGCCCCGTCTGAGTTCTCTCTCCCTCTGCGATGCCGTCACAGGCTCAGCCAGCCCAGCTCCGCCTACATGCATTGATAAGATATTGGGTGTCAACTTCCAGGGTTATTTTTTGCTTATGTTTTCTTTCACATTATATTGTAATTGCAATTGCTTATTTGTTTCTGCTTGCCCTGTTCCTTGAAGTCCACAGTTGCATATTATTTCTTCTTGAATTGGCATCTCTTCCTAGTGATGGCCGTATCTAGAGGATAGTTAATGGTTCTGCTGAGTAAATACATGTCCCTGGAAATTCTTGTTGAAAAACAAGTGTTGGAAGGAATAACTTGGCCACCGCTGGTTGGTGTTGGTGTGCAGTGCTCTGCTGGGTTGGAGATGCCCGGCCCTGCACCTGGTGGCCTGGAGGTGCTCTGTTTTGATAGAAGGGAGTAAGGGATAGAAAACAGGACCATGGTTGGTGTGTCTTCCTCACTGACTGAGCAGCCAGTTGCTCATGACCTTTCTCCTTAGCAGACACCTTTGTCTTGCTGTCATATTGACTTTGCCTCTTTATACCATTCCATCCCTTTTAGTCTATTGGATCATAATAGGCCCTCTGCTTTATGTTTCTTTCTCATTTAACCCTTATGAAGGTGATAAAGATATGCCACCCCAAAACAGGCCACTTTGGCATAAGAATTTCTTGAGCTAAAGACAATGGACAAAAAGCAGACACAGAAAGAATTATTTTCTCTTCCTCCATCTGCCCCCAAATAGGGCATCAGTTTTCCCAGTGCATGTGTCCCCTTCGCCCACACCAGAAAGGACTGAACACTTATCACTGGAAAGAGAGGTGACTGTGAGGTAAGACTATAAACCAACCTCACTAACAAACCTTATCTTCCATTAGTTCCCCCCATATATTTCCCAGTTTTCCACAATTAATTGGCCCTAAATGACCAAACTCTCTTTTCTTTGTTTAGTCACTTGTTCACATTCACTTGTTCTTTGTTAAAATGGTATATAAGCTTCTGAGTCTTACTGCTTCTTTGAGTATTTTACTTCTTTTCTATAAAGACCAATGCAGGTAAAATAAAAAAAATGTTACATTTGTATGCCTCTTTTCCTGTAAATTTATCATTTATCAGTTTAATCCACAGACTGTAGGCACTGAATCTAACAGGGAAGAGAAAATATTTTTTCCCCTCTCCCTACACTTATAACCTGGGGTATATGGGATAAGCATCACTGTGACCATTGAGCTGGACTGAGGCTCAGGGAAATGTTAATAACTTCTGTGTGAAATAATCAGAACCTGTGTCAAAGCCCTTTTACCTTCCTTGTTCCTTTTTCGCTAGTGCCACAAGTTTGTTTTATCTGTTTAGTAACTCTGAAGTCCAAGGAAGTCGGGCTCCCATGGTGAACGTCAGCTTGCAAAAGGAAGCACACTGAAGGACAGCCCTCAAAAATCCCCAGACTAGACCCAGACAGATCAGCCCAGTGTTTCCCAATGATGAGACTCCCAGCGCTCTCTGGCACCTAGCCCTGAGCCAAGCAGCATTAATCACTCAGTGAGTTTTGGTTGATGACATGAAACTGGTTTGCATAACCCGGCTGCACTGGTATAGGCACACAGGCCACCATCTGACAGCAACTCTGGGACCTGGTTTAAGAGAAAGAAACCCTAGGTGTGAACTACAATCAGAATCTGAATTCCCCGTAGTCTTTCTTTCTCACCCAGGCTGCGAGTAAATACTCCATCCCTGCCTGGAGCTAATGAGGCAAAAGCTGGAGAAGATAGTCTGCTTCTAAGAGACAGGGCAAGTTAGGGATCATAATAGGTTCTGGTTAAAGAAAAGAGACTTTTCAGGTTTGTCAACCCAAGAAGGAAAAAACAAACAAACAAACCCAAACAGGCTTAAAGAGTGTCATTAAAAACCTTATTGGGTTCCAATAATCCCACTTATTTAATTAAGAAGGTTGCCAAAGAAAGAGGATTATTTCCATTTACTTGGTCTTAAAAATAAATGAAACTTCTCACCTGGAAGCCAGCGTTTCCGTAGCCTTCAGCTTCAGAGGTGGTCACATTGTTCAGCTCCATGAGCTCTTGGCTCTTCTTGGAATTCGCTGGTCTCTGAATTCCTTTCAGATGTGTGATCTGGAGCACTCGGTTCCTGTGAAAAGGAACGCAGCCTCTACAGTTGTCAGAGGGCCACCTGCTGTTGTAGAAAGCTGGGCACTGCTTCAGTTTGGAAATGTCAAAACTAATGTCCTCATTGGGGCGGGGCAGGGAAGGTGGGTGGAGTGGAGACACTCAATTCAGGTCCGCCTGCCTCATTAATCTTTCCTATTTCCCCATGATTGCCAGCCCATTTTCACTCCAGGGAGAAAACCCATGTCCTGCACAAAACACAACAGGACATCTCTTTATGTCCACGAGTGAGATAATCTACTTCCTATAGCCTGTGTTGTAGACTAGGCGTGGTGGGGGCAGCTGGGGACAGAAGAGCTGACTGGAAACAAGTGACCACCGTGCTGCGCTGGGAAGATGCTCGGTGCTTTACATACGGTGGTCTTGGTGTATTTTCAAAACAAGGCAAACTGAGGTGTGTGAAGTTAACAATATGCTTGGGATCATTCGATTAACAAAGGCACAAAGAAAAGCCAAATCCAGGTATGGTGGATTCCAAAGTCGTTTTCCTTCATCCCTGTCTGTAGCCTGGGATGTTTTTGAAAATTCAACTCCTAGAAATGAAAATACGTGGCAGATAAATGAAAGGTGACCAACTGCTCACTTAATAAAAGGATTCTTTGCTTTTGAAATTATTAGCTGTAAGGATTCTTTCAAAAAAGTACATTTAAAATGAACTATTATGTATCTGTTAACTATGATAATTGTGTGACCTATGTGGAAATGTAGGAAATGCCTATGGTAGGTGAAAAACTAGAATTAAGAAACAGAATACTGAATGCAGTGGACAAAAGAATAAAAGAAACTATCAAATATTACTAGTGGTTATTTTTGGGTTGTGGTTTTATGGATGGTTGTTAGTTTCTCCTATATACTTTGCTGAGTTTATATGAAACTCAGGAATCTTTATAGAAAAGAGCACGGTATGACTATTATCGTGAAATAGCCTACACACACACACACACACACACACACACTGGTTAAGAACTTACTGGAACCAGCCCAGGCTGGGTTGCAGTTGGTAGGAGCATTGTCTTGTACACCAAAAGGATGCAGGTTTGATTTTCAGTTATACTTGGGTTGTGCGTTCGATCCCTGGTCTGGGCACTAGTGGGAGGCAACCAATTGATGTTTCTTTCTCACAGAGATATCTCTCTCTCCTCCTCTCTCTCTAAAATCAATTAAAAAACATATCCTCAGGTTAGAATTAAAAAAAAAAAGAGCTCCTGAAACCACATTACCTGGGTTCAAGTCCTGGCTTTACCACTTACTGCAGCAAATTATGGCTCAAGAGCTAAACCTAGACTGCTGACATTTGTATGCAACCTGAAAGTTAAGAATGGGTTTTATATTTTTAAATGCTTGAAAAAATCAAAATGACAAATAGTTCATGGCACACACAAATTACATGAAATTCAAATTTCAGTGTCCATAAATCAAATGTTGTTGACACACGAGCATAACCATTTACTTATATATTGTCCCTTTTGTGGCTATTGCTTCACAAAGATAAGGGCTGGTTAGTTGCAAGAGACTGACTGTATGACTCAAAGGCTAAAATATTCATTTACTGCCCCTTCACAGAAATTCTGTCCTGAGCCCTGACTTACTAGCCATGTGAATTCAGGCAAGTTTCTGTTTCTCTGGGCTTCAGATTCTTCATTTACAAAATGGGAATAACAGTACCCATTTTACGTTATCATTGAGATGATAACTGTGTTAATATACTTAAAAACATACAAAATGATGCCTGGTGTATAGTAAATTTGTTGCTTTAAAAAAAGGTAAAATGATCTCTAGAAAGTTACTTGCATGTGTTTTAGGTACATCTTTCTACCTGAAGCCAGGTACACCTATGGTTGAGCAAATGTTATGTTGCATTTACACAAGAAGGCATAGCACCCCCTGCTGGACTGGGGGTCAAGTCAGTCTCTCCCATAAATCCCCACCATATTGGCACTATGAGAAAGTTGACTCCTGACTTCTCATTCACTGGTGTTCTTGGGCCCCTACCTCCCCATTTATTCACACTTTCTTTTTGCTTTAGGTCTTTACTGATTCTTCATTGATTCTCTGATAAATGGAGATGTTGGAATTTTTATCAGTTCTTTCCCAATAATTGTGATTTGCCCAAATGAGTGGTCACTGTGTTACCAAATGCAAAAACTCAGACGGGAAGTGATCAAGAGAGATGCAGAGTAACTGAAAGCAGATACTGTGGGAAACTTACATGATAAAATTATCGGAACAAACCACTTGTTGCCACCAGACTGTATAACCTTAATGAACTCAAGACTCAGTCTAGTTTAAGGTTATGGAGGACACTTATGCTTGGAAGAAAAGGAAAATCTTCATTCTGCCATTTATGGTTATTTATAATCACACAAATTTGACTCAAATGCCTGACATTCTTGTAGATACTGTCACATGAACCTTTTATTTACTGATTTTCACAGAGAGGGGAAGGGAGGGAGAAAGAGAGGGAGAGAAACATCAATGTCAAAAGAAACATCGATCAGTTGTGACTGATCAGCTGCCTTTTATACGCCCCCAAATGGGGACCTGGCCCTCAACCCAGGCATGTGCCCTGACTGGGAATCAAACTCATGACACTTCAGTTTATAGGCTGGTACTCAATCCACTGAGCCACAACAGCTAGGGCTCACTTGAATCTTTTCAAATGCAACAACCCATTGATTTTCCTGTCCCTTGACTGTAGACAGTAAATTGGAAGATTCCAAGCATTTTGAGAGCATGTCACTGTGTAAGTGAGAACACTTAGAGTGCTGGGTATTAGACTTATTGGGGGGGATCACTTTGAAAATTATATAAATGTCTACCCACTCTGCTGTACACATGAAACTAATATAATATTGATGTCAACTGTAATTTAAAAATAAATAAATAAATAAATCACTTTAGAAACCACTGTACATTGTTGATTAAAAGACACAGTGACCTGCCCATTCCATTCTCCAATTATACCTGCAAAAAACAAATTGAGACCTAAAATTAGAGTAAATTGCACATACAACCATGATACTAAAATACAAATATGATGGTAATATACAGAGATGTTTTAATGAAAAAAATGTTATTTATTCAAAACCTATAAGTAGAGCCTTTAGAACTAATGAAAATTCAGACTTTCTTTGCAGCACAAGAATTAACTTGATATATGGAGCTATCACTTAAAAGATGGTACCTTAGTAGATACAGTGGCTCAATTGTCACCTTGGAAATAGAAATATCATCAGAAAATTAAAGATCTTTCTACTTTACAAGACACCACCTTAACCAAATGGTCACCAAGAGTTAGACAAAGATGCCCTGGCTGGTGTCGGCTCAGTGGACTGAGCACTGGCCTGCAAACCAAAAGGTCATCAGTTTGATTCCCAGTCAGGGCACATGCTTGTGTTGCAGGCCAGGTCCCCGGTAGGAGGTGCACAAAAGGCAACCACACATTGGTGTTTCTCTCCCTCTCTTCCCCTCTCTAAAAATAAGTAAATAAAATCTTAAAAAAAGGAAGAGTTAGACAAAGAGATATTATGTGCCTCTTGATATGATGCATTGAGGAGGACATACCACTTCAGTGGTATTCCTGCCCAAAACGCACAACCTGCATTTGACAATAAAGACATTAGGCCCAAACAAGAGATATTTTAAAGCATAACTGGCCTGTATTTTCAAAATAGTTAAGGTCATAAAAGACAAAGAAGGCAGACAGACCGAAGATACGTGACAAATAAGTGTAACACACCATCCCGGAGTGGGTCCATTCTTATAGAGAACAAAGTAGGGACAATTGATCAAATTTAAATTTTGGTCATAATGTCTCAATATCAAATTTTCTCATCTTGATAATTGTACTATGGTTATGTCAATTTAAAGAACCTGAATCTCTGAGAGTATTAGAAAGATTTTTATTCAGGCCTTGCTGAGGGCTATAGCGTGAGAGTAGAGCTTCAAGAAATTTTTAAACAGTGCTCTCTCTATCTTTGGAAAAGTCAGGGATGCTTATATAAGCAGAAGAGTAAGCAAAAAGTGCATCTGTGTGTCAGAAGTTTCAATTGGGGTGCATACATTTCAACTATTAATAGTTTTACAGCCAATGGAAGGAATGTTTAGGAAAGAAAAGGCTGAGTCACGGTGCCCCCTGGTGTCAGGGAGTCTGGGTCTATTGGGGTCTGAAAAGCTGTTCTGAAGCTGTAGTTTAATTATTTCCAGATAATTGTTTTTAGCACAGTAGATTGAATGGAATTAAATATCAGTATTAATTGGGGAGTGTTAAAAAGCAAAATCTAACTGTAAACGTGATTTTGTTAGAAAAACAAATCCCAAAGCATTTTTTATTTCAAATACACATTTGAATTGTCCCCCTCCCCTGCTTAAGGTGAATTTTTATCAGGATGTAGCAAGAACAGGCACTGATTTCTATAGTTATTAGTGTTGACTCTGTAAAAGACTAGGGTGGTGAACACACAATACAATATACAGATGATGTATTAAAAAATCGGACAACTGAAACCTATATAATATTAACAATCAATGTCACCCCAATAAATGCAATAAAAGAAGTTTAAAAAAAAAGAAACTGTAAAAGATCTACATGGCTATCCCCATAGTTTTTACCTTAGTAAGATATGTTAGGGAAGCTCATTGTTTTCTCCTAGTTACTAATTAAGTCAGAGAAGCTGAAGCAGCCTTTCTTTTCTCAGTTATGTAAGAGAATGTCCTTAGTTAGACATTGGCGAATTGAGGAATAAAGGGGCATGCAGTCTGCAATTTATTCCCAAGCAAATAGTTCAGAAAAAAGCAACGACACATAAATGTAAAGGAGTATGAGAGAGAATAAATAAAGCAAATGAGGCAACATGTTAACGGTGAGCCTAGTTAAGTTATGAAAGTTTTTTATTCTTGCAACTTTTCTATAAGTTTGAAATTATATCAAAGTGTAAAGTTTTCTGAATTATTCATATATATACAAATGTATATTTTAGCCTTTGTCAGTTATGTATGTGTGGAGGGTGAAATGGTTAATTTATATAGTATATATTTTTCCCTTTTACTATTTTTTTTTTTTTTTTTGCACTATAAGAAACAACAACAACCAATAGCAATGCTTTTCTTCTCATTTGTATGGATTTGAAGAAATTACTGCCTTTTCCCCTGGAGAAATAACTTACAGACAAAAGAAGTAGTACTTACATTATGAAATCTGCAAGTCCCACAAGTCAACAGCTTGAAAACACCCCCTGGGGGCAGGGAAGAAAACAAGTCTCTCAGGAGACAGACAGCACAGGGAAGGATTGCAAGCTGGGGAAATCAGGAGTTTTCGTTCCAGAACACAGAGTAGGGGCCCCTTTCTCCTGGCCCCCCACTGCCACCACCTCAAAGGGGTGAGTTTTGGTCTATGGTCTGAAGAACTCTTTTCAAATGACACAAGAGTTGCTGTGAGGAGAGGTCCAATGAGAAAGGTTCAAATATGAATTAGAATCATGCTGACGTTCAAGAAGGAGCCCGCAGTGAAGAGGCTACCCAGAAGTGTCCGTGTGTCGCTGCTCCAACCAGCTGCCTCCATTGGACCCAAGGCAGAAATCTCAAAAACATATTAAGGGGCCAAACCAGCAAATATATGGTGTCCCTACAAACCCTGTAGGGTTACTTTCTTTAGGAGTTAGTGATCAAATTGTGCCCTGAAGCAGAGACAGGTATTGAGATTGCCAAAGCTAATTTTTTTTTTTTTTAAAGGTGGGAAATGTGCTTCCTTCAAACTAAATTGGCTTTGTAATTGCCTTTCTCCAAGTCTAGAAATGGCTTTCCTCCCTATGGTTGCAAGTGTGTGTTGCCTTACACTCGAAGTGAAAAGGCGAAGGCCGACGTGCCAGGACTGCGCAGCCTGAACGGGCTGGGGTTCGGGAAGTACGGGAGTCAGCCCTCGCTGTGCTCTCACGGGCCGGGCCTTCCTTCCTTCGAGAACCTACCCCAAAGTCAGTCTGAAATGTATCTGTAAGCCTGGTGACCACTCACTGCCCCACTGAGACAGTGTTGCACAGGTATGGAACGCCCACAAGTTTAAAACGCGTAATTGCAGTTGCTGTTAGGCCTGGGCCGGTTCCCCACCTCAGTTTTTGCAGGATGTGGCCGTGGCCATGTCCGTGGAGCTCTGGCTCTGAGACTGTGGATGGATTGGCACTGGCTGGGGCATGGAGGTAGGGCAAGTGCTCATGTGCAGTAGGAGTCCTGCGCACCAAGGCTCAGTGTCTGCAAGGGGGCTATGAATGAAGAGCCGGCTGCCTCCGCTTGGCAGGATCTGTGGGTGGGCCTGGAAAGCAGGCTCTCAGATTCATGTTGCAGGAACTGGCCCAAAAGGCCAAAGTTTGGCAAGATCACACTCCTCCCCTGCCTAATATCATCAAAGGCCTCCTCTAGGTGCACCTGCGGGGTCTTCATGACGTAAGCCATGCAGACGGTGTGCAAATGGGAAATCCCAGCTTCCTTGTAGACCAGGACCTTGCTTACTGGTTTTTGAAAGTGGGAGCCAAGGTCAGCAGTGAAGGTCTATTTGTAGTGTAGGTGGGCCAGGCAGGTCTCAGAGGTCCTCAGTGAGACAGACATTCAGCAGGACCATGATGAGCAGATTGGTGAGGATCTCATGCTTGTATGCATGGTTCGCATTTCCAAAGCTGAGGAATGTGAGGAATCCAATGCCCCCTTACCTACCCCTTCAGAAGCCAGCCGGCAGCTTGATACTGAGCACTGTTTTACCATGCTGGCTGAGAGCTCGCCCAGTTTCAACCTTCTCTTGTGAAATGGAGTTTGTACCCGTGCAATACTCAGGATGTTCCCTCTGTGAAAGTAGATGTTCCCTTTGGGGCCACCAGAAAGATCCCGGGATACCCCAAATGCTCAGCGCCCAACCTGGCCAAGCCACTCACTATTTTATACTTTCTAAAGTCTCTGGAACTATATATTATCTCATATATTTCCTCCATGTAGTTAAATACAGATTCTGTACAAA